AAGATATATATATAGTATATATATAATATAATATATATATATATATATATATACAGACGCATTATCAACAAAATAACACAAGGAGACAGAGACAGAAAGACAATTTGCAGTATCTGCATTTAAATATAAATCTTTCTATTTAAATATAAATATAAATATAAATATAAATATAAATATAAATATAAATATAAATATAAGTTAAATTATATTATGAATATTACTGTTTGCAGATACCCTCCTAATTTAAAGCATGTGCTGCACGGGGCTGACGCTGATTTAATTATGCTGGGGCTTGCGACGCATGAAGCACACTTTTATATTCTTAGAGAAACAATAACTGATACTCCTCCTGCTCCTGCTGCTGCTGCTGCTGCTGCTGCTGCAGCAGCAGCAGCAGGGGGCGGTGCTGCAGTAGGGGGTGATGCTGCAGCAGAAGAGACAGCAGATCAAGACAAGAAAAAAAGAGACAGGGAGACAGATGAGTTGCTGCAGCAGCACCAGCAGCTGCAGCAAAGGATACAAATGGAGACAGCATTTAAACCTCTTCAATTAATACAACTGCCTGTCTTAAGAGAGTATATTCAGTATGAACTCTGTGATAATGTAAGAAGCTTTTTGCTGTCTCCTTATCTGTCTCTGTTTTGGTTTCTTCTGTCTCTTTACTTGTCTCTTTACTTGTCTCTTTACTTGTCTCTTTATTTGTCTCCTTTTGTCTCTTTACTTGTCCCTTTACTTGTCTCTTTATTTGTCTCCTTTTCTCTTTACTTGTCTCTTTTTTTGTCTCTTTTCTTTGCCTATTTGTCTTTTTATTTGTCTCTTTATTTGTCTCCTTTTGTCTTTTTATTTGTCTCCTTTTGTCTTTTTATTTGTCTCCTTTTGTCTTTTTGTTTGTCTCCTTTTGTCTTTTTGTTTGTCTCCTTTTGTCTTTTTGTTTGTCTCCTGTGTCTGAATTTGTTTTTCTTGTGCATTTATTTTTATCTCCTTTTCCTTTGAAGGATTTATTATTTTATTTATTTTATTTCTGTCTGTCTTTTTTATCTGCTGCTTAGCTGCCTGTACACCCCAATGCATTCGCTGCAGCTGCTGTCCCTTCATTTCCTACTGCTGCTGCTGCTGCTGCTACTCTCACTGCTCCTGTAATTGATATTGCTGTTGTTGCTGCTGCTGTTTCTGTTGCTGCGTGATTGTACTCTTTGATGTTTGTGTTGCTGCTGTATTTGTTGGTGCTGCTGCTGCAGCATCATTGTATGTTATGATGTTTGTGCTGCTGCTCTTTCTGCTGCTGCTGCTGCTGCTGCTGCTGCATCATATATATGGTTTGCTGCTTGTGTGTGGGGTGTATCAGGGGCGTTATTGCTTAGAACGCGTGATTGACGATTTTATATTTTTATGTTTTTTATGCGGCAACGACTTCCTACCTCATTTGCCTCACCAATCTATTCAAAGAGGTAGCATTGATTGTCTCCTTGAGGTGTATAGGCACCTCAGACCTTCAATTCTCACAGGCTATCTTACAAAGGCAGGCCGCGTTAATCTCCTGCAGCTGCAAATCTTTCTTCAAGCATTTTCATCTGTTGAAGAGGAACTCATCAAGAGAGAGCTTATCAGAAAAGTAATAACGCCTATATATGCTGCTGCTGCTGAAAGCGGTGCTGCTGCTGCTGCTGCTGAAAGCGGTGCTGCTGCTGCTGCTGCTGAAAGCGGTGCTGCTGCTGCTGAAAGCGATGCTTCTGCTGCTGTTAAAAGCGATGCTGCTGCTGGAAGCGATTATGCTGCTGGTGCTGTTATTGCTTGTTGCTGCTGTTCGTTGGTGGTGTTTGGTGCTGCTGTTGCTGCTGCTGCTGCTGCTGCTGCTGTAGTGGGTATTGCTTCCTTTCTTTCTTGCTGCTGCTGCATGCAGCAGCAGACTGCAGCAGCAACAAATGTGTATGTTGAATGTTTTGATGTTTTGTTCAGGAGCGTCTTCGAGAGAAGCATCAGCAGGAGCAGCAGACTCTCCACGGCCCTGCAGCACCTCTGCGAGATCGGGGCATGCAACAGCAGCCACACTGGCAGCAGCAGCAGCAGCAGCAGCAGCAGCGACGAGAGCAGCAGCAGCAACAGCAGCAGCAGCAGCAGCAGCAACAGCAGCAGCAGCAGGGACTTCCTTCAAATGAAGAAGTTGCGAGGCAGCTAAAGCTGGCGCTGCTGCAGAAAGGCGCAGCAGGGGGCCCCACACCCACACAAAATGAATCTGCTGCTCAGGGGGAAGCAGCTAAACCTGCAGCAGCAGCAGCAGCAGCAGAAACAGCAGCAGCGGCAGCAGGTGATGCAGCAGCAAATGCTGAGACGGATCAGGCGGGAGCAGCAGCTGAAGATCCAACAGCAGCAGCAGCAACAACAGCAGCAGCAGCAGCAGATGTGGAAGCAGCAGCAGCTGCTGGAAACGGCACTACGTTGCCATCACAAGCAGCAGCAGCAGCAGCAGCAACTGAAGCAACAGGAGACACAAACACCCTGGACGCTGTCTCTGCCCCCAACGCAAAGCGGCTGAAGGCCCATGACGGAGCAGCAGCAGCAGCAGCAGAAGCAGCAGGAGCAGCAGCAGGCGGAGGGATGCTGCGCAGTCGCTGGGAAGAGGATGTGGATTTGTTTAAACAACGCATGCAAGAAGCACTCAGCGGTAGCAGAGAGCTGGGGCTGCATGCATTATTATTTGATGGTGTGGACAGCGGTGTGGGGTGTAGGAGCAGAGACAGCTGGAGGCAGCAATATTATAAAGAGAAGTTTCACTTAGCAGCAGATGATTCTGTTGCTGCTGCTGCTGCTGCTGCTGCTGAACAATATATACGAGGTCTTCAGTGGGTGCTGCTTTATTATTGCTGCGGCTGTGCTAGCTTTGACTGGGCCTTTCCTTATCATTACGCACCTCTTGCTGTTGATTTATATAATGCAGTTAGGACAATAAACCTAAGAAAGCAGCAGCAGCAGAAGCAGAAACAGCAGCAGCAGCAGCAGCAACAGCAGCAGCAGCAGCAGCAGGAAGAAGAGGATGGCTTTGAGGCGGCTGAGGTGAGGGATAAGAAAATAAAATAGTTTTTTTGCGGCTTTTGTTGGTGTTTAAATGCATGCAGACAGAAATACAAGCAACAAGAAATATATAAACAAAGAAGTATAATATACATTTATATATATGTATATATATATATATATATATTATATTTATATTTATATGTTTATTTATATTATTTGTTTTTGTTATATAAAACGAACGCCTAACCAACCTGTGATATATATATATATATATATATATATATTCATATGTATATTTATTTGTTTATATTATTTTATATTATTTATTAATACATATATTTATTTATATTTATTTATATTTATGTATTTATATTTATTTATTTGTTTGTTTATAGGATTTGTTTAAACATTCTCTGCCCTTAACACCAGTAGAGCAGCTGATGGCTGTATATTATATATATATCATTATATAGATATATTTACATAGATTTATATGTCTTTGTTTATTTATTTATATTTGTTTATTTATATTTATTTATTCGTTTGTTTATAGGATTTGTTTAAACCTTCTCTGCCTTTAAAACCAGTAGAGCAGCTGATGGCTGTGCTGCCTCCGTTTAGCGCTGCCTGTCTCCCCGCTGCTTTTTGCCGCTTACTTCGGTCTTCTGTCTCCTCTATCGCTGATTTCTATCCACTTAAATGCAACTACGACCCTAACGGTAAAAGGTAAACAAGCTCCTTATCCTCCTGCTCCTGCTGCTGCTGCTGCTGGTGCTGCTGGTGCTGGTGGTGGTGGTGCTGCTGCTGGTGCTGCTGCTGCTGCTGCTGCTGCTGCTGCTGCTGCTGGTGGTGGTGCTGCTGCTGCTGCTGGTGCTGCTGCTGGTGGTGGTGCTGCTGCTGATCATGATGATGGTTGTTGTGATGCTGCTGTTGCTGCTGATCGTGCTGCTGTTGCTGCTGCTGATGCTACTGATGCTGGTGGGTGTACTGCTGCTGGTGCTGCAGCTCGTTCTGCTGCTGTTTCTGGTGCTGCTCTTTACGCTGCTGTTGCTGCATGCGGCGTGCTTGCTGCAGCACAGACACAGCTCGCAGACTATCAACAGCAGCAACAGCCCGAAACCTCCCTCAATAATAATAATAATCATCATCATCATCATCTGCTGCTGCTGCTGCTGCTGCTGTCTGTGTGTAGGTATCAGTGGCAGTGGGTTGTGCTGCTTCCGTTTATAGACAAAGAGCGTCTGCTGTCTGCATGCGGACGATTATATTATACGTTGCTGCCAGAAGAGAAAGAAAGAAATCGCTGCTCTGAGACTGAGGTGTATGTACACCTCAGCCATCCTCTAGCAAAAGTAATACAACAGCTTACGCCCCAGCACGGCAGGGTGCTTTCAGCAGACGAAGAGCTGCAGTGGCCTGCTGCTGCTGCTGCTGCAGCTCCTGCTGCTGCTCCTGCTGCAGCTCCTGCTGCAGCTCCTGCTGCAGCTCCTGCTGCTGCTGCTGCAGCTCCTGCTGGTGCTGCTGCTGCAGCTCCTGCTGCTAAAGATAGGCGTCTGCCTCGTGCAGTGATAGGCGAAGGGTTAGAAATATCTGTGAGCAGCAGCGGCGGCTTAGGGGGCTATCTCTTTTTGTCTCCGTCTGCTCCTCAGCCTGGAGACATCGTGCAAAGCCCCATCGGTAGGCTTTCTTCTCTTTTGTTTGTTTCGTCTATTTGTTTTATTTGTTTGTTTATTTGTTTGTTTTGTTTGTTTATTAGCTTGCTTGCCTGTTTGTTTTGTTTATTTTATTTGTTTTGTTTGTTTATTTGTTTTGTTTATTTTATTTGTTCATTTGTTTTATTGTTTTATTTATTTGTTTTGTTTGTTTTGTTTGTTTGTTCGGTTGTCTCTGTGTCTCTTTGTGTCTCCTTTTTCATCCTTTGCTTCTCCTTTTATTTGTCTACTGCTGCTTGTGCTGCTGCTGCTGCTGCTGCTGCTGCTGCAGAGGGCATGAGTGCATGCAAGTGCAGCTCTGTTTGCTGCTTTGTGTCTCCTCCTCGCATGGGGGGCCCCCCTATCTCTTATTTGCTGCCAGGCGCAGACAGCGGGGGCCCTTTTCTAGATAGATACGACCTTGAAGTAAACCCTAAACCCTAAACCCTAAACCCTAAACCCTAATTAACCCTAACTAACCCTAAATTAAACCCTGAAAAAGCTTTAGATGAAACCCTAAACAACCCTAATCCTTCTTGCTGCTCTGCTTTATCTGCACTGTGAAACCCCAGATGATGATCTTTGCTGCTTTTGCTGCTGCTGCTGTTGTTGTTGCTGCTGCTGCTGCTGCTGCTGTTGCTGCAGGAAGAGTCGAGGAGGGACAGGGCTTTCAATGGAGCAGCAGCTCGGCGTATGGTTGCATTTGCTCTGGGGCGCAGCCAGCAGCAGCAGCAACAGCAACAGCAGCAGCAGCAGCAGCAAGGATACGAAGGATATCACAACGGGGGCCGCTATCAGTACAGGGGCCCCCAGGGGCCCCATCAGCAGTACTCCCAGCAGCAGCAATACCAGCCGCAGCAGCAGCAGCAGCAGCAGCAGTATAGAGGGTCTCTGCCTCCACAGCTGTGGCGGCCGCCCCCCTATGGGGGCCCTCCCCCTCCGATGTCTGTACATCCTGCTGCTCTTGCTGCTGCTGCTGCTGCTGCACCGCAGCACATGATTCCTGTTGCTATGAGGCTTCAGCAACAGTTAAATCCTATGGCCTTTGATGCAGGGCGGCAGCAGCAGCAGCAGCAGCAAAACAGATGGGGGGATGGAGCAGCAGCAGCACCGCCACCACGCATGGGGGGCCCCCCTCAGGCCCCGTGGTCTGCTGCTGCTGCTGCTCCTCACAGCAGCAACGCACAGAGGCCTTTCTACGACAACATGAGAGACGGGGGGCATGCAAGGCCCCCCTGGCAGCAGCAGCAGCAGCAGCAGCAGCAGGGGTACCCTGGCGATGGACGCTGCAGCACGCAGCCAGCCTGGAGGCCGCCCTGGAGTGGTGGTTCGAACCTGCAGCAGCAGCAGCAGCAGCAGCAGCAGCAGCAGCAACACCAGAGGAGCGACAGCAACGGGTTTGTTAATATGACGTTTAGAGGTAAATACACCTAAGACAAACTCTTATTATAAACAAACTTTTATAAACAAACTTTTACTAAAAATAAAGCAGCGAGCCTCTTCATGGTGTACGCTGCCCTGCCAATGGCCTGAGGGGACCTTTCCGAAGATGCAGCAGCAGCAGCAGCAGCAGCAGCAGCTGCTGCTGCTGCTGCTGCTGCAGTTGCTGCTGCAGGTAGTGCTGCTGCAGCTGCTGCTGCTGCACAGCTAAAGAGGGACAGCGGCACTTAAGTAGCTGCACTTTTGCTTCTATCCAGGTGTATACACACCTGAATTTGTCTTTATTGTTATTTTCAGGTGTACATACACCTGAAGATGGCTTTGTTATTTTCTTGTCTTTAGGTGCGCATACACCTGAAGATGTCTTCGTTATTCTGTTATTTCCAGGTGCAGAGACATCTATTTATTATCATTTATTCAGGTGTATGTACACCTAAAGTTGTCTTTATTTGCGTTTATTCAGCTGTACGTACACCTGGAGTTGTACTCATTATTTTATTTTCAGGTGTACGTACAGCTGACTTTCATCTGATACAATCCCATCTGATAGTCGTAGTCATATATATATATATATATATGCATAAGTACATTTAAATATAAATAAATAAATAAATAAATATATATATATATATATATAAAGCAGCTGGATAGGGATGGCGAGCGAGAAGAGGTTTGATAGTGTGTATTGTGTCTTTACTTTGTTTTATTTATTTTAACGTTTATTTATTTGTTTATAGAGTTGAGAGAAGACATTAATAATAAACAGAGTTCTCTACAAGACAAACAAACAAACGAACTAATGCTCCACAGACGCCAGGTGTATATACACCTTAAGACAATATTTTGAGTATTTAAACGCAAACTCTAGCTGTATATTCATCTATTAAGTTGAGGTGTATATATATATATATATATATATATATATATATATATATATATATTAAAGAGCGTCTCTCCTGGCGGCGCTAGGCGAGAGGAGAGGCTTTCGGTTGTTTAGCAAAGTTATATCATTTTCTTATTTAGGGTTTAGGGTTTAGGGTTTAGGGTTTAGGGTTTAGGGTTTATTAGCGTTTTGCCTTCTTTCACATCCCTGCGCCCGCATGCAGATTCTAAGGCACAGCAGAAGCTCCGTTTGTTTGTTTGTTTGTTCGTTTGTTTGTTTGTTTTTATAATAATATTTGCATTATATTAATTAAAATATATTTATTTTACTCTTAAAACAAGAAAAATATACGCTACTCTTCGCTAGACACGCTGTTGCTCGCCTGAGCAGCAGCAGCAGCAGCTGCTGCTGCTGCTGCCGCTGCTGCTGCTGCTGCTGCCTGGCGCTGCCGCCTGGTGGGGTTGTGGTGTGTGATGAAGTTTGCATGGGATTGAAGAAATCTGCTGCTGTTTGTTTTTTATTTTTGCTCTTGTCTTTATCTCAGCTACATAAAGACATTCATTTCTTATCTGCAGCAGTAACACCGCAGCAGCTGCAGCAGCAGCAACAGCAGCAGCTGCTGCAGTAGCCGCAGCAACAGCAACAGTCTCCGCTGGCTTCTCCCTGCTGTCTCCTGCGACCTAAGCCCTGTTGCTTGTTTAGGAGCAGCAGCACTGCTAACATCTGCTGCAGCAGCAAGGCTCGGCTGTACATACACCTCAAAGGTGGCTATACACCGCAGCTCGAAGCGCTGCTGCTTCTCAGCAGTTATATATAGACGCTGCTGCTGCTCTAGTGTAGCTGGCTGCTGACTGTCTCCTGTCCCCTTAGGGGCTTTTACCTCCCTCTTGCTGCCGCTCTGCTGCCTCTGTTGTCTTGATACTGCTTTGCTGCTGCTGTGCTGCTGTTGCTGCTGCTGTTGCGGTGTCTCCTCGCCTCCGCTTGCCTCAACCGAGACATTCATGACCCCACACTTAACGCTGCCGTGGGAGACAGACGGGCGCTTTCGCTGCTGCTGCTGCTGCAGCTGCTGCTGCTGCAGCTGCTGCTGCAGTGGCAGCAACTGTCGCTGGGCTGCCCCTACTGCTGCTGTTGCTGCTGCACCGATATGCCGCCAGCAGTAGTTGCTGCAGGGAGCAGCAGTCGCTGTTTACAGCAGCAGCAACGCCGACAGTACCAGCACCCGCAGCAGCAGCAGCAACACCAGCAGCAGCAACACCAGCAGCAGCAGCAGCAACAGCAGCAACAGCAGCAACAACGGCTGGAGCAGCTAAAGAGCCACAATGAAACGCAGCCCTGAAGAAGACCCTTTGGCCTTCCTCGCCAGAAAAAAGAAAACCCGACCCAGACCGAGCAGCAGCAGCAGCAGCAGCAGCAGCAGCAGCAGCAGCAGCAGTAGCAGCAGCAGCAGCAGCAGCAGGGCAGCACCAAGGGACTCCTACCACCGCAGAGACAGCGTGGCGTCTGTCTCTTCGTCTTTATTTACAGAGCGAAGACGGAGGAGACCGAGCGAAGGAGACTCTGCTGGAAGCAGCAGCAGCAGCCAAGCAACAGCAACAGCAGCAGCAGCAGCAGCAGCAGGATTTGGGGTGTCTGGAACCCCCGCCAGCAGCCAGGCATCTCTAGGGTCTCGTTTTGAGGCTTTCTCTCAGGGGAACATCGAAGAGACAGCAGCAGCAGCAGCAGCAGCAGCAACACAGTCAAGCTGGAAGCTGCCGCCGGGTTCAGCAGCAGCAGCAGCAGCAGCAGCAGCAGCAGCAAACCCTTCTTTTCCTCTCAGGGCTTCTAATGTCGTCTTACCCACAATGCCTGAGAGGGACTCCTCTCGCTGTTTGCTGCTCGCAGTGCAGCTACCAGCAGTGCGCCTTCAGCTCTTTGCTGCTGCTGCTGCTGCTGCTGCTGTTGCTGCTGCTGTACCTGCTGCTGCTGATGATGATAGTCCACCCGGTGTCGCTGTGCTGCTGATTGCGTTGCTGGGACTCCTTCTGCTGTTGCTGCTGCTGCTTTTGCTGCTGCTGCTGCTGCTGTTGAGATCGGCTTTCGTGAATGCGCCGGAGGAGGTCTTTGTTAGTAGAGATGCATTTGCTGCTACTGCTGCTGTTGCTGCTGCTGCTGCTGCTGTTTTGCTGCAGAAGGCGCGTCTGTCTCTGGCTGGGCTTGGAGCGGGTCTTGCTGCTGACACCCAACTTATTGCTGCTCTTGAAAACCTCCTAGATGTAAGCTGCTGCTGCTTATGTTGCTTCTGCTGCTGCTGTTAGTGCTGCTGATGCTGCTGCTGTTGTTGATGTTGGTGCTGCAGTTGCTCTTGATGGTTTTGCTGCTGCTCCCGCTGCTGCTGCTGTTGCTCTTGCTGCTGCTGTTGGGTGCTGCTTGTCTCGCTGCTTGTGGCGGTGGCAGCAGCAGCAGCAGCAGCAGGAATAGACATTCCTCGTGAGGCGACGCCTGCGCCTCAACTGCTGCTTCCGTTTTTGTTGCTGCTGCTGCAACTGCTACCGCTGCTGCTGCAACTGTTGCTGCTGCTGCTGTTGCTGCTGCTGCTGTTGCTGGTGTGCTGCAGCGGAGTCTGGCTCAGGGTAGGACGCTGCCAGGTGTAGAAGGAGCTTTATATAATGCATGCGGGTGTCGCGTGCAGCAGCTGCTGCTGCTGCTGTTTGAAGCAAACTCGTTTTGCTGCTACGGTGCTTCTTTAGGGTTTGCTTCGCAGGGGGTAGAGCCCCTGCTAGCAGTCCCTGCTGCTGCTGTGCGAGCAGATGCTGCAGCAGTGTATGCAGCAGCAGAAACAGCAGCAGCAAAGGCTGCAGCAGCTGCTGCAGTAGCTGCTGCTGCTGCTGCTGCTCCAGCAGCAACCCAAGGCAGAGTCATGCAGCTGCAGCAGCGAGACCTGCAGCAAGCTTCCCTCGTCTCCCGAGCAGCAGCAAAGGCGTTGCTGCAGGAGATGCACAATCAAGCAGAAGAACTCCTGGAGTTGTGGCCCCTCAGAAGGTATAGCCTATCATACAACTAGGGTTTAGGGTTTAGGGTTTAGGGTTTAGGGTTTAGGGTGTTTTTAGGGTTATTTAGGGTTTTATTTAGGGCTTTGTTAGGGTTTTATTTAGGGTTTTGTTAGGGTTTTAATTAAGATTTGAATTAGGGTTCTAATTATTGTTTTTTTAAATTAGGGTTTGAATTAGGGTTTAGGGTTTAGGGTTTAGGGTTTAGGGTTTGTTGTGTGTGCGATAAGGAGCGTAACGTTTCTGTCTCGTCCTGAAGACTCGGTCTCGTTTGCGGTTGATGCTTATTTGCTTCATCGCGCTGCTTCAGTCCATATGACGCCTTGTTTGCTGCTGCAGCAGCTACCTCCTTTAGATTTAGCTGAGACGGATGGTGTATGTACACCCGAAGCAACAGCAGGTGAAATCCTTTGGGTCCCTCTCTGGGCTGCTGAAGTACTCGCAAAACAAAGAGCAGCTAAAGTTATGCTGCCTCCCTTCCTCCATGCAGGTAATACTGCTGCTGCTGATTGTGCTGCTGCTGCTGCTGCTGCTGATAGTGCTGCTGCTGCTGATAGTGCTGCTGATGCTGCTGATAGTGCTGCTGATGCTGCTGATAGTGCTGCTGATGCTGATAGTGCTGCTGATGCTGCTGATAGTGCTGCTGATGCTGCTGATAGTGCTGCTGATGCTGCTGACAGTGCTGCTGCTGCTTATAGTGCTGCTGCTGCTGATGATAGTGCTGCTGATGCTGCTGATAGTGCTTATGCTGCTGATAGTGCTGCTGCTGCTGATAGTGCTGCTGATGCTGCTGTTGCTGCTGATGCTGCTGCTGTTGCTGAGTAAAACCAGAAGAAACAGAAGAGGCAAAAGAGACAGCAAAGAGACAGCAAGGAGACAGTAAAGAGACAGCAAAGAGACAGCAGATTGTGTGTGTATGTGCACAGACGTCATAAGGAAGTACCTGCAGCAGGAAGAGAGACAGAAGTCGCGACTGGAGCCCCTCCCTGTCTTCTTCTTCGAGGCAGCGAGGCTCCTTCTCTTCAACCCCCTGTTAGCTGCTGCTGCTGCTGCTGCTGCTGCTGCTGCTGTTCCTCGTCCTACTGTTGTTGTTGCTGTTGCTGCTGCTGCTGCTCCTCGTCCTACTGCTGTTGCTATTCCTGCTGCGGCTGTCCTTCTCCTGCTGCTGCTCGGCTTCCTATTGTTGCTGCTGTACCTGCTGCTGCTGCTCTCCCTGCTGCTGCTGCTGCTCTTTCTGCCGCCGGTGTTGCTGCTTTGTGCTGCTGCTGCTTTAGCTGCTCGGCAAGTGGTGTGTGCTGCTGCTGCGCGTTGCTGCGGTGTTGCTGCAGTGTACAGCCGCTGGGCAGCGAAGTCTGGTGGGAGAAGGAGAAAGGTATGTTGCTGCTGCTGCTGCTGCTTCCTGCTGCTGCTTCCTGATGCTGTCGATGCTTCCTGCTGCTGCTGCTTGCTGCTATTGCTGCTGCTGTTGGTGCGTGGCTGCTGTTTGTTTGCTGCTGCTGAGCAGTTGTGTTTGTTTTGTGTCTCTTTCTTTTGCTGCAGGTTTGGTGCTGCAGCTGTGGGATAGACGGCAAGCGAAAATAGCAGCAGGTAGGAGGACTCGGGTGTACATACAGCAGCAGCTGCTGCCTTTGCTGCTCTTCTTGCTGCTGCTGTTGCTGCTGCTTTGTGCTGCAGCAGCTGATGTTGCTGCTGTTTGGGTGTATCTGCAGCTCTTGCTGCTGCTAACTTGGAGGAGCAGGTTGTGCGTATCGACCACGTACAGCCGTCCGAGACATATATGCTGTACGTACACCTCAGCACCTTGCTGCTGCTGCTGCTGCTGCTGCAGCTCCCGCTTCTGTTGCTTCTTCCACTGCTGTAGCTGCTGCGTCTATTGCTGCTGCTGCCGCTGCTGCTGCCGCTGCTGCTGATTGTTGTCAAAGCCAATGAAGGAAACAGCTTCCTACGAAAGAAACACAAGCCGGTGCTGTTGCTGCTGCTGCTGCTGCTGCTGCTGCTGCTGCTGCTGCTGCAGGTCGCACATGCGAATGGATGATTGAGGGTTGGGTTAGTTTGGTTGTCTCTCTTACCACTGCTGCTGCTGCTGCTTCACTTGCAGCAGCAGCAGCAGCAGCAGCGTAGAGGCACGGCAGCATCAGGGCAGCGGGCGCTCAGCTGGCAGCTCGTTGCTCCTGCTGCAGCTGCTGCTGCTGCTGCTGCTACCGATTTAAACAAACAGCGCAGCGGTCCTTCCGCCTGTCTCTGGGAGCTTTTAATTTGAAGCGTTATGCGTTAGGCACCTGCTGTTGCTGCTGTTGCTGCTGCTGCTACTGCTGCTGCGGGTGAGCGACTGTACACGCGAGAGACAGCCAGAAGCAGCAGCGGAGACAGAAAGGAGACACAAAAAGAAAAACAGAGACAGACAAATAAGACAGAAAAATAGACAGGAGGAGACACAGGAGAGACACTGCACTGAACGCAGAAGTATAGAGAAGTATTGCGGCAGCTTCAGCAGCAGCAGCAGCAGTAGCAGCAGCAGCAGCAGACGGCCGATGGGAGACTAAAAAGAGACAGCCAGACGAAATCAACAGACGGAGAAGAGTAAAAGGAAATAGTCAAAGTGCAGCAACAATAGCAACCGCAAGCTACTGCTAGCTGCAGCTAGCTACAGCTAGCCACCGCTAGCTACAGCAGGGGACAGTGGAGGGGTTCTTTATATTAGAGGAGGGTTGCAGCTGCTGAGGGTTTGTCTATCTCGCAGCAATAGAGCGAAGGCTCTTCTTCGTGTTGCTGGCAGGATGTAAACCCTAAACCCTAAACCCTAGAACAGTGTATCTCCTCAGTGACGCCCGCGGGGACGTGAGGACTGGGCACCTGAGAGCTCGTAGCTAGCTGTGGCTAGCTGCAGCTAGCTGTAGCTAGCTGTTGTGTTGCTGCAAGACAGCTGCAGGTAGCTACTGCTAGTGGCAGCTAGCTGTAGCTAGCTGCAACGCTGCAACCAATGACGTGCTACCGCGCTGCAGCTAGCTAGCTAGCTGCATCTACCTAACAAAGTGGTGATGAAGCCCTGACCTCAAAGGACGCTTTGCTTTTAAAGCCGCAGTCGCTCTCCCGTAAGAGCAGCTGTGCATACTAGGGTTTAGGGTTTAGAGTTTAGACGGAGGGTTTAGGGTTTTTCTTTATCGTATAAGAGGTGGGTTTACGGCCTTAACTTAGGGTTTTTCTGAGGGTTTAGGGTTTAGAGTAAGGGTTTAGGGTTTCTTTATCATACAACAACTTCAGGTGTACGTACACTGCAGTGTGTTGGAGGGGGTTAAGTGTTTGCTGCTGTTGTTGCTGTTGTTGTTTGAGGTGTACATACACCTCAGCATTAAGAATATAAATAAATATATTTTCTGTTATTTTTCTTCTTCTACTTCTTCTTTCTCCCCCCAATCTAACGGTGGGGGTTTAGGGTTAAGGGTTTAGGGTTTAGGGGCCCCCGGTTAGGGTTTCTGAGGTGTACGTACACTTCAGATCAAAGCTGCCTATACACCCCAATTAAATGCATAATTATTTTTTATTTCTTCTCTGCTTTCCTCTACTTGCAGCCACATAACGCCTTCTGGGGCTGCTCACCCGGCGCCCCCGCATGCAGGCATCCAAAGCCCTCAACTGAAACCCTAAACCCTAAACCCTAAACCCTAAACCCTAATCCCTAAACCCTAAACCCTAAACCCTAAAGCTTAAACCCTAAACCCTAGACCCTAAACCTGTTTCTTTGATAGGACCAAAGCCGTCACAAGCAAGCAAGAACACCCTGGGGCTCTCTACACGCAGACAGCAGCCTCTGTACGCACACCGACGCTAAACCCTAAACCCTAAACCCTAAACCCTAATCGGTAGAGGCTAAACCTTAAACCCTAGTCCTACGTTCTGATCTGCATGCTGTAGAGGCTAAACCCTAAACCCTCGTCTTCTGTTGGATTGCAGCGACGCTTTATGGCGTTGGTTTGCTTAATTCCTTCTTTCTCGAGGTTTAGGGTTTAGGGTTTAGGGTTTAATATATTCAATTGCTGCTGCACCTTTAAGGGTTTTCTGCTGCTTGCTTCAGCCCTTTGGGGGCCCCCAACCCGCTCAGCCGAACCCTCATGACTGACGAGGCCTCGTGGGGCGCCGCCCTAGAAGAGTCTTCTGAAGGCAGCAGCAGCAGCAGCAGCAGCAGCAGCAAAAGCAGCAGCAGCAGCAGCAGCAAGGACTGGGGGCTCCCCCGAAGCCACCACGACGCAATCCTGTCGCTGCGCGCCCTGTTGAAACCCTCCCAGCAGCAGCAGCAGCAGCAGCAATCGCAGCAGCAGTAGCTGCAGCAATAGCTGCAGCAGCAGCAGCAGCAGCAGGCATGGAGAACACCGGCAGCCGCCAGCCAGTGGGTCCCCCTGACTCTACAGACGGGGCTTCGGCAGCTGAAATGCAGCAGCAGCAGCAGCAGCAGCAGCAGCAGCAGGGTTTAGCTGCAGGAGAGGCTCATGGTGTGCGCGGTGCCGTCAAATCGCATGCTGCTGCTGCTGCAGCCACGCCGGCTGCTGACGCAGCAGCAGCAGCAGCAAAGCATTGCGTCAAGGATGAGAAACAAGTGCATGCAGCAGCAGCAGCAGCAGCTATAGGATGTGCAGCTGCAGCAGAAGGCTCGGAGCCGTCGGATGAGAAGGGGGGCCCTGCAGCAGCAATAAAGAAAGAAGAAACAGCAGCAGCAGCAGACGGAGATGCAGCAGCAACTGCAGCATCCAAAGCTGCGGCTTCTCCAGCAGCAGCAACAGCAGCAGAAATGCGCCCTATTAAAGAGAAAGACGAGAGGGATTCCGACAGCTCTGTTGTTTCTGCTTCTGCTGCAGCTGCTGCAGCAGCTGCTGCAGCTGCAGCAGCAGAAGACAGCGGTGATAGCACATCAACAGCAGCAGACGCAGGCGAGGATGCAGCAGCAGCGTTGTTAGACGCAGCAGCAGCATCTGCTGGTGCTTCTGCTGCTAGCACTAGCCCCAACAACAGCAAAACCAAAAGAAGCAACAGCAACAGCAGCAGCAGCAGCAGCAGCAACAAAAGGAGGAAGCGGTGGGGCCCCGGGCTTCGTGTGAATATGCGCAGCAGCTGCGACAGCCGACTGCAGCCAGAGATTGCTTTGCTGTCTTCAGCAGAAGAGATAAAAGATTATATGCAGCAAACATTCTTGCCTCTGCTGCAGCAAGCGAGGCAGAAGCTGTGCAGACGCAAGCAGCAGCAGCAGCAGCAGCAGCAGAAGCAGCAGCGGAAGAAAACACCTCTGCTGCTGCATCTTCAGGAAGACTCAGAGGAGACAGACGCACCCCGCGAAGCGTCTCTCGCAGCAGCAGCCGAGCAGCAGGATCAAGAGCAGCAGCAGCCGCAAGAAGAAGAAGAAGATGAAGAACAAGAAGAAGAAGAAGAAGAAGAAGAAGAAGAAGAAGAAGCAGACTACTTACACCCTGTGAATGGGTTGCCGCTGCAGTGTAGGAGAGTTAAATTATATGAAGTAGATGGAGAGACAGGCAGCTGGGTAGACAAGGGGACAGGTCACTTCTATGTTATCGAAGGAGACACCCCGGGCCTTCCCGAGCGCCCTCCTGCTGCTGCTGCTGCTGCTGTTGGTGGTGGTAGTAGTGGTAGTGGTAGTCCTGCTGCTGCTGCTGCAGGAGAAGCAGCAGGAGCAGCAGCAGAGGGAGAGGGAAGTGTTGCTGCTGCAGGTGGCGGCGCGTGCAGCAACGAAGACAGCGTTTCTGCTTCTGCTTCTGCGGCAGCAGCAGCAGCAGCAGCAGCAACAGCAACAGGAGCAGCAGGAGGAAGCCGTTTGATAGTGGAGGCTGAAGGAAATGAAGGGTTTGTTGTTGACACTGTAATTTGCTGCAACTGTCTCTACCAGCATCAGAAAGACAGCATTATTACGTGGCAGGAGGGGTTCAAAGGAGACAGTTACAGAGCTCTCTCTTTTCAGCATCCCCACGGGTGCTTCGCTCTGTGGAGTTATATTTATTTAGTGTCTCCTGAGAACTGTGCGGGCAGCATGAGCGATGAAGAAGAAGATGAAGACTTAGAGACAGATGCCGCTCTTCATTCTGCTGCTGCTGCTACCTCTTCCACAGCTGCTGCTGCTGCTGCTGCTGCAGGAGAACGAGCAGGGATTCGGGGGGCAGCTAATAATAATAGTACTGCTGCTGCTGCTGCAGGGGATGGAGACCTCCCGCTGCTACAAGGAGACAGCTTTTGGGGTGAGCAGCAGGAAGGAGACAGAGCAGGAAGCAGCAGCAGCAGCAGCAGCATCTCGCCTCCAACTGTCTCTTCTCTACCGCTGCTGCTGCACAGAGTAGAGTACGAGCTTCATCATCCGCATCTTTGCGTGCAGCTGCAGCAGGAAATAATAAATAGACAGTGGCTGCGCTCTTTCTTTAGGCTTATGCATCAGCTTATTGCGGATTTAGAAGATGAGTCTCCTGCTGCAGCAGGAGGAGCAGCAGCTGGAGCAGGAGCAGCAGCAGCAGCAGCGCCCTGCAGCAGCGACGACCCCGCGCGGCTCAGCAAGACAGCAGCAACAGAGACTGCAGCAGCAGCAAACAGGAAAGGCGGAGACACGGAGTGGGAGTTGAGAAGCAGCAAAGGAGACAGCAGCAGCAGCAGCAGCAGTAGCAGCAGCAGAAGCGAGCGTAGTGTAGAGAAGAAAGCAGCAGAAGCAGCACTGCAGCAGATGGCGCTGATCCTGCGTAAGCTGCTGGTAGGTTGTGCCGGCTATGCGGAAGTGCTGCAGCTGCTGCTAGACGATGAGTTTTGGCTGCAGCTGCTGCAGTGTCTGGAGTACGAACAAGATCTGCAGACGCAGCAAATGCAGCTGCCTCACACTCAATTCTTTCAGAAGGTGCAGTTTCACCAAGTTCTTCGCCCGCAAACAACAACAATAACTGGCAGCAGCAGCAGCAGCAGCAGCAGCAGCAGCAGCAGCAGCAGCGGGAGAGGTAGCGGGAGCGAAGGAGGCAGCGAAGCGCAGCAGCAGCAGCAGCAGCAGCAGGAAGGTGCTGGTTTGGGTCGTGGGAGAGACGACAACGATGAAGCAGAGGAGGAGCAGCAGGAGCAGGAGGAGGAGGAGGAGCAGCAGCAGCAGCAGCAAGAAGAAGAGTTTCTTCATCATGTTCATTTTCATTATCGGCTGATGTACCTGCGTGATGTTGCACTTGCACGTTATGTTGATGAGGCATCAATTGCGCAGCTTCAATATCTTTTAAACTCTAACGGACATTCTATTATATCTCTGCTTTGTCAGTCTCAGCATTACTCTCTGACGCCTTCTCCTGCTGCTGCTGCAGCTCCTGCTGCTGTTACTGGGCCCAGACGCGCAGCAGCAGCAGCTGCTGCTGCTGCTGGGGCAAGCGGTGGTGATGGAGATGCAGCTGCATGCAGCAGCAGAGGCAGCAGCAACAGCAGCAGCAGCAGCAGTGCGCTGAGTTTATTAAAGATGAGGCTTGGAGAGGATTATTATTGCTTGTTGTTTGTCCGAGAGTTATTGTCTCTGCTGCAGCGGCTAAGCAATGCTCCTGCTGCGCTGCTGTGTATGTCTCCTTTTGCTGCTGAGTGCGGGCCTAGGGGGTTGAGAGGCTCCGGCTACTCTGTTTATAATCTGTCTCTTCAAATCAGAGACACAGGTTTGCTGCTGCAGCTAAAGGGATATCTAAGAGGGGACGCAGCAGCAAACCGCATGTGGCAGCAGCTTATCCTCCCTCACAACAAGCAGGCTGAGGAGGTAACTCATTAACACCCAACTACCTAGCTAGCTGGCTAGCTAGCTAGCTAGCTAGCCAGCTAGCTGGATAGTTAGCAAGCTGGCTAGTTAGCTAGCTGGCCAGTTAGGTAACCGGCTAGCTGGCTAGCTGGCTAGCTGGATAGTTAGCTAGCTGGGCCTAAGCACTCACAAGCAGCTATCTTACTAGCTAGCTAGGTAGCTAGCTAGCCAAACCTAGCAACGATTCGCTAGCTAGCTAGCTAGCTAGCTAGCGAACCAGACAAACAAACTGACAACCAGCTGTAGGTAGTTAGCCAGCTATCCATCTGCTGCCTTTGGTGATGGTGCTGCTTCTGATGCTGCTGCTGCTGCTGCTGCTGCTGTTTGTTGCTGGTGTGTGGTTGCAGGCTCGCGCTGCTGCTTTGTCTCGGCTGCTGTCTTCTCCTGATGTGCTGCACCGCCCTAACCCTCTGAACTTTGAAGGGTTTGTCTACCCCGACCCGATAACAGTTGCTGTTGAAGTGCTGCAGCTGTTTGCGGAGACTAATCCCCCTATACTGCGACAAATACTCTTCATGGAGAAGGCCCAGCAGCAGCAGCAGCAGCAGCAAAAACGGCAGCAGCAGAAATGGCAGCAGCACCAGCAGCAGCAGCAGCAGCAGCAGCAGCAGCAGCAGCAGCAGCAGGAGCAGGAGTATGAGGAGGATACTGAGAGTAAGCGGGAAGAAGACGATGATCAGTTGCTGCTGCTGCTGTGTGGGGTGCTAGAGACAGGACAAAGTGAAGCTGTTCAAGTAATGATAAAGGAGATATTAATTCGAGTTGTCTGCGGAGTTAACATGGAGTTACCTGAAAAAGACGAAGTAGATCAGCTCTTCTTCGATGGCGGCGTCGTTGATTTGCTGCTCAAACTCCTCTACAAACCCTACCACCACTCAATGACGCAACGTAACAATCGTTACACTCAGCCTGCTGCTGCTCCTGCTGCTGCTCCTGCTGCTGCTCCTGATGCTGCTCCTGCTGCTGCTGCTGCTGCTGCTCCTGATGCTGCTCCTGATGCTGCTCCTGCTGCTGCTTCTGCTGCTGCTCCTGCTGCTGCTTCTGATGCTGCTCCTGCTGCTGCTCCTGGTGCTACTCCTGCTGCTGCTCCTGATGCTACTCCTGATGCTGCTCCTGCTGCTGGGGCTGGTGATGGTGGTGGTAGTGGTGGTGTTGCTGCTGCTGCTGCTGTTGTCGCTGCTGCTGCTGCTGTTGCTGTTGCTGCTGCTGTTGCTGCTGCTGCTGCTAGTTATAGTGGGTCATTTGTGGCGTTATTTTATTGGAGATGGATTTTGCTGCTGTTGGGTGTTGTCTTCTTCTGCATCTTCATCTTGCTGCTGTTGCTGCTGCTGCTGTTGCTGCTGCTGCTTTACTTTGAACTTCTTCAGTTGAGCAGCAGCGGCTGCAGCATGCGAAGCAGATGGTGTTGGAGATATTCTCTCATTGTGTGGCAGTTCACAGGTAATAAGACTCGTCCTGCTGCTGCTGCTGTTGCTGCTGCTGCTGCTGCTGCTGCATTTGTCGCTGGTTGTTTGTTTTTTGTTTTGTTCTTCCGGCCGTCTTTTGCGCGTGTAATCGCTCGCTTGAATAAATAAATAAATAATTATTTATTTATTTGTTTATTTATATATTTGGCAGTCTATTATTAATTTATTTAATTATTTGTTAATATTCAGCTACCCATTAATCTTATTTATTCATTCCTTCATGCATGCATTAAATTAATAATTAATAATTAATTAATTAATTAATTAATTAATTAATTTGTTTATTTATTTATTTGTTTATTTATGTTGATGTTGGGGTGTACAGGCATCGCTTTAAGCTGCGCATTCTTAGGGACAGCGTACCTCTGCGCAGTCTCCTCGCTGCTTTGCAGCCGCAGTTTGATAAATTTTTGTCTCTTTATGCTGTCAAGTTCCTAAGGGCGTGCATCACCATGAAGGTAATTGCTTCTGCTTCTGCTGCTGCTGGCGGTAGAGTTGCTGCTGCTGGTGTTGCTGCTGTTTTGCTGCTGCTGCTAGTGGTTGTGGTGGTGTTTGCTGTCTCCTTTTTATGTTTGTATGTCTCCTTTTTGTATTTATTTGTCTTTTTTCTATATTTATTTGTCTCCTTCAGGATCCGTACATCGACAAACATTTGATTAAAACAAAAGTCCTCAGACCCCTCGTCTGGATGCTGAAGGTGAGTTATATTCACTGTCTCCTTTTTATGTTTATTTGTCTCCTTTTTATGTTTATTTGTCTCCTTTCTATGTTTATTTGTCTCCTTTTTATATTTATTTGTCTCCTTCTGTCGACTGTCTTCATACTCTGTCTCCTCCTGTTTTCTTTATCTGTCTCTTTGTATCACTCTGCTTTTTGTCTGTCTCCTTTATCTGTCTTTCTGTCTCCTTTATCTGTCTCCTCCTGTCTCCTTTCTGTGTCTCTTTGTCTTCTTCTGTCTCTCTTTGTCTCTCTCTGTCTCCTGTATCTGTCTCCTTTATCTGTCTCTTTTCTGTCTCTCTTTGTCTTTGTCTGTCTCCTTTGTCTGTCTCCTTTACCTGTCTCCTCTGTCTGTCTCTTTTCTCTGTCTTTTTTTGTCTCTTTCTGCCTCCTTTGTCTCCTCCTCTCACATTGAGCTGTCTCCTTTTGTCTTTTCTTGTGTCTCCTCTATTTTATGGCTGCTGCTGCTGTTCTTTCTTGTTGCTGCTGTTGGGGTGTCTCTTTCTGTGTTTGTCTCTGTCTCCTGTTTGCTCCTGTTGCTGCGTTTGCTGCTTGTTGGTTTTTGCTGCTGCTGTTGCTGCTGTCACTACTGCTGCCTTCACCCGTTTGCTGCTGCTGCTGCTTCTGCTGCCTGGCTGTTTGGTGCTGCTGCTGCTGCTGCATCTGTTTCTGCTGTTTTTTGCTCGTTTTTTCTTCTGCTGCTTCTGTTTCTATTGCTTCTGTCTGGTGCATGCTGCTGCTGCAACTGCAGCAGCAGCAACAGCAGCATCAGGAGCGACAGCAGCATGAGCAGCAGCATGTATTGGTGCTGCAGCAAGATGATTAATATCTCTTTATTTTGTTTGTTTTTGTATGGTTTATTTATAGGAAGACTTTTTGTCTCCTTTATCATCTTCGCGTCGTCTAGGGGGTTCTTTGCTGTCTGGTGCTGTTCTTGAGTGTCTCTCTTGTCTGTCTCCTCCCGCTATGCCTCTGTCTCCTGCTGCTGCTGCTTATTCTTCTGCTGCTGCTGTTAATCAAGACTCTTCTTTAATAGCCTTTCTGTTTGAAGACCCCCTCACTTCTGCTTGGCTTGCGCAAATCGATGCTGCTGCCACCAAAGCCAGAAAAAACCCCTGTCTTGTACTACGCGTAGGTTGCTGCTGCTGCTGCTGCTGCTGCTCTTGCTGCTGCTGCTCTTGCTGCTGCTGCTCTTGCTGCTGCGAGGGCTGCTGTGAGGGCTGCTGCTCTTGCTGCTGCGAGGGCTGCTGCTCTTGCTGCCGCTGCGAGGGCTGCTGCTGTTGCGAGCGTTGCTGCTGCTGCTGTTGCGAGCGTTGGTACTGCTGCTGTTGCGAGCGTTGGTGCTGCTGCTGCTGCGAGGGCTGCTTGTGCTGCTAACGTTGTTGTTGCTGCTTGTGCTGCTCCTGTTGCTGCTGCTGGAGTTTGATAGATTGGTTGCTGTGTGTTGTTGTTTGTTTGCTGCTGCAGGACTTGCGAGTATTTTATTGTAGATGGCGTGCAGCAAGGAGACAGGAGACACTCGGAGACAGCAGAGAATTTACTTTAAAGGAGACAGAGCACCATAAAGCAGTTAGCAGCTTAGGCAGACTCATCAGGACAGACCCCCACGTAAACCCTAAACCCTAAACCCTAAACCCTCCTTAATCCTGCAGAAAGAGATGCTTCAGCACGCAAGAGAAACACTGACTCCCTTTGGCCTGGGGTTCAACATTACGGTGGTTTAGGGCTTAGGGTTTAGGGTTTAGGGTTTAGGGTTTAGGGTTTGTGCGCAGCGGCAAGCCATTGATGATGATGACTCTTGGTTCTTTAACGTTAAGGACGACGACTCTTCTACAGACACCACAACACCGGCACGAGGGTAAACCCTAAACCCTAATCCCTAAACCCTAGGCGAGCTGGAAGACCTTGCAAGCGCACGTATACCGCCCTTGGGGTTTAGGGTTTACGCCTTAAGGTTTAGGGTTATTTAGGGTTATTTAGGGTTTAGGGTTTAGGGTTTAGGGTTTGGGTGCAGGTCTCGCCTGTCTCTTGTTGAGGGTTATGATGACGATGAGGAGCAGCAGCAGCAAGACAGCAGCACGGGCACTGATCTGTGGGCTGGTGGCAGCAGCAGCAGCAACAGCAGCAGCAGCAGCAACTCTGCAGCAGCAGCACGGCTCAAGGTCACCAGGAGACGCAGACGCAGGCCCATGCGTGGCGGCAACGAGAGCAGCAGCAGCAGCAACAGCAACAGCAGCAGCAGTAGCAGCAGCAGCAGCGACGAGGACAACCGCCCCCTGCCTAAGCCGTTACCTCTCTCGAGCCCCGGTAGCAGCAGCAGCAGCAGCAACTTAGCTTTGGAAGGTGAAGACACATCTCTCTTCAGTGTATTCCCTGAGAAGGCTTCTGCTGCTGCTGCTGCTGGCGGTGCTGCTGCTGCTGCTGCTGGCGGTGGGGGCCCTCTCTCTTCCCGTGCTGCACCAGGCGCAGGAAGACAAAAGAGACGCATCGCAGTCAAGATAGGGTACGCTGCTGCTGCTGCTTCTGTTGCTAGCAGTGTTGCTGCTGCCACTGCTGCTGCTGCTTCTGCTGCTAGCAGTGTTGCTGCTGCTACTGCAGCAGCAGCTGCTGCTGCTGTATCATGATAGAGTTGTTATATGATGGTTTTGTGTCTCTTTGCAGCAGCAGCAGACCCACCTCCAGCGATGAGGACGCCGGTCCAGCCAGAGACCGCCCTAGCAGCCCCAGCAGCAGCAGCAGCAGCAGCAGCAGCAGCAGCCCAAGCAGCAGCAGCCCAAGCAGCAACAACAGCAACAGCAACAGCAGCAGCAGCAGCAGCAACAGCACCAGAAGAAGCCCCACGTCGTCACCAGAGGATGCGGAGGCAGGTGCGGCAGCAACAGGAGCAGCAGCAGACGTTCGCAGCAGCAGAGAGCAAACCAGGGGCGAAGCTTTCTCGTGGGGAGACGAAGCAGCAAACGACAGCAGCAGCAGCAGCAAAGAGACAGAAGGAGACGGCGCAGCTCTTTCAGATGGTAATAATCTTTTTGTCTCCTTTCTCTCTCTTGTATATATATTATGCAAGCAAATATTAATATATTTATTATATATTTATTATATATGGGTGTATGTATATTATATGTCTGTACAGGTATAATATATATATATATATATATATATATATATATATATGATAATAAAAATATATATATGCATGTATGTTTATTTATAAATATATTTTTATATTTATATTTATAAACCCGAGAGATAGCGCTAATAATATTTTTTTGTTTTGCTGCTGGGGTGTTGCTGCAGGTGTGGAGCTGCTGCAGCGCGTGCTGCAGCAGGCAGGCGTTAAAAGAGGCAGTGCAGCAGCAGCAGCAGGAACAGCAGCAGCGGCAGCGCCGGAAGCAGCAGCAGCAGAGCAGCAAACTGCTGCTGCTAAGAACGGAGACACGTCGCAGCTGGACCTCCTCAAAGATCTCCTCGAGGACGACGCCGAGGAGGAGACACCTGCTGCTGCAGCACCTGCTGCTGCTGCTGCTGCTGCTGCTGAGGCAGGGCCAGCAGAGAGCAAGAGGAGACGCATTAGCTAAACAGAGCTTTGCTGCAGCACTCACCAACTGTGCTGCTTGTCTTAAGGTGTGGGGCCCCTCACTCAGCAGCAGCATTATTTAGGGAGGCGAGGCGCTGCAGCAGGTGCAGCTGTGGGTTTTGCTTGCTTGCTGCTGCTGCTGCTGCTGCTGCTGCGCCTCTTGTGACAGACCTTCCGGTGTACAGACAGATTGCGGTGTATAGACAGTCGAGCGCTCTGTTCGGTGGAGGGGCTTCAGTGGGGCCCCCACTGCAGCAGCAGTGCAGAGACACAGGGAGACACCTGCTGCAGCAGGTAAAGCAGCAGCAGCAGTACTACAGCAGCAGCAGCGGCAGCACTACAGCAGCATCAGCAGCTCTACAGCAGTAGCTTCAGCACTACAGCAACAGCTGCAGCACTACAGCAGCAGCACCACCACCACCACAGCAGTAGCTGCAGCACTACAGCAGCAGCAGCAGCGCTACAACAGCAGCTGCAGCACTACAGCAGCAGCTGCAGCACTACAGCAGCAGCTGCAGCACTACAGCAGCAGCTGCAGCACTAAGCAACAGCGGCAGCACTATAGCAACAGCTGCAGCACTACAGCAGCAGTTGCAGCACTACAGCAGCAGCAGCAGCACTACAGCAACAGCTGCAGCACTACAGCAGCAGCAGCAGCAGCACTACAGCCGCAGCTGCAGCGCTACAGCCGCAGCTGCAGCACTACAGCAACAGCAGCAGCAGCACTACAGCAGCTGGCGCGGAGGCTTTATTGAGAAATCAGCAGCAGCAGCAGCAAGGACTGCTGCAGCAGCAGAGACACACTGCACAGCAGCAACAACAGCAGCAGCAACAGCAGCAGCAGCAACAGCGGCAGCGCCTTTTTACGTGCTTTGCTTCTGCTTGTTTGCAGCTTATCACGTGCTGATGGCTTTGTTGACATATTAATAATATTATAAATATATATATTTGTTTATATAAACCCTTTAAATAATAGAAATTATATATATATGTATATGTATATATTAACCCTTTATATAATAGAAGTAGTACGTACAGTTTGTTTATATAAACCCTTTATATAGTAGCAATAGAATATACATAGCAAATAATATTAATATATTTACCCCAAATATTCTATTTAAGAGATATATAATCTACTTCAGGTGTCTGACCCCCTCTTAGGCCCTTTGTGGGGCCCCACACCTCTTATTTAGCCCAAGTAAGGGGTGTGGGGCCCCACGCATTTTGGTTGGGGCTACATCTGTGGGGCCCCACACCCCAGAGGGATCCTCCTGTGGGGCCCCACACTCCATAGTAGGGCCCCCAGAGGGGGGCCCGACACCTCTTGTTAAGGCCTCATTGTGGGGCCCCACACCCATGAGCAGGGGCCCCCCGAATGGGGCCCCACGCAGCAGCAAATAATAACTCCCTTAGGGTATACGCAGCAGCAGCAGCAGCAGCAGCAGCCGCGTGAAAGAGCTGCAACGAGCAGCAGCAAACAGCAGTGCCTGCGGTGTCTCCTTAGTCCCTAAGCCTCAACTTATTAGCTATAAGCCAGTGTAGAGTCTCCCCCGCAGAAAGCAGCGACATTTGCAAACCCTAAACCCTCATAAACCCTATTAAACCCTCATAAACCCTATTAAACCCTCATAAACCCTTATAAGTGCATCTCTAGACCCCAGGGCTTGTAAGGGTGTTATTCTCCTGTGAATGAATGCAAAGTATGCATTATACAACCTCGATAAATAATAATAAGAAAATATATTTATTATCTGCAGACAAACCCCTGGACCCATGAGGAAGAGGCTAGCAAGACAGCAGAGCAGCATACACCCCAAGTGTATAAATAAATATAAATGCATATACACCTAAAAGAAAAAACTCACAGGATAAGTACTGGGGGGACAGATTCAGCAGAATCCTTTCGAAGGCTTCAGCTGCTGCTGCTGCTGCTGCTGTTTGCTGCTGCCGGTGCGGTGAGGCCAGTGGTGTGCCCAGAGCTGCGTTCCTGCTGCTGCTGCTGCTGCTGCTGCTGTTGCTGCTGCTACTGCTTTTGTAAGCACCGAGTTTAATAATTTATGAATATTAGAGGTTAAAATGAATTAAAATTAAGAATAAATAGAGCGGGTGTATTAAGAATTCAAGTTGCAGCAGCTGCTGCACATACACTCCAACTCAACCTGCTGCTGAGACCGCTGCAGCAGCCAGGGCCTCCAATTATCTTCTATGAGCAAAGTTATGAATAAATAGATATTCTTTTTAATAAATTTGTCTAATTTAAAAGCCATTTTCTCCTTTTACTTTTAATCTCGTTCATAATATTAATACATTTACGCCGGTGGCTTCATTCAGCTGTCTGTACGTACACCTGAAAGGCAGCGGAGCAGCAGCAGCAAATAACAGCAGCAGCTGCTGCAGTGATTGAGATTCTCTTCCTTCTTTCACTCCTCTGCCTCTCTGCTAAAGCAAAGTACTCCCTTCTCACTGTACAGGAGCAGCAAAGCTTCTCACAAGCTGCACGACCAGCCCCCCTACTGTTCAGGGTTGAAGGTTTAGGGTTAAGGGTGTAGGGTTTAGGGTTTAGGGTTTAGGGTTTGGAGAGAGATGGTGACAGTGGGCAGAGCGGGAGGGTTTGTCTTTGTTTTTCATGAGTTGGTTTTATCTCTCCTTTTGCCTTCGCTCGCACCATAAACCCTAAAAAACCCGAATAAACCCTAATATTAAACTACATTAAACCCTAATAAACCCTAATATTAAACTGTTAAACCCTAATAAACCCTAATACACCTTAATAAACCCTAATACTAAACCCTAATAACCCCTCGTAAGCCCTTATTAACCCCATTAAACCCTAATGAACCCTAATGAACCCTAATAAACCCTAGTAAACCCCAATGAGCCCTTCAAAAAGCCCTATAAAACCCTTGCTTTTTGCATGCAGCTCGAGGTAATGGCGGAGGAGGGCCGCTCTCAGTCGCTGCCGACTACCTCCGAACCCCCAGCAATTCGAACGGCAGCCACACCCGAGCCCCAAACAGTATGCATGCAATCCAATGCAAACCCTCACACCAGCGGCCCCAACAGGGGCCCTTTAGGGAGCCTCAGGGGGCCCTCAGGGGTCCCTTTAGGGGCCCTTTAGGGGCCCTCAGGGGGCCCCCTCAAGGGGGCCCTAAAGGGGCCCCTAAAGGGGACTCCACAGGGGGCCCCACACTTTATACAGGTGCAGCAGAGGGTGTGGGGTTTGGTGTTTCTTGTTGTGGTTCGTTAGTTAAGAAGCCCCCTTAGGAGGGGCCCCCCTAGGAGGGGCCCTCACACAGTTTATGTTTGGCAGCTGCAGCAGAAGGTGCTTGGTGACGGTTTGCTGCAGCATGAAAAGTTTGCTGCTGCATGCGTGTGTGTGTGTGGGGCCCGCAGGGGGGACCCCACGAGGCTCCGGAGACCAATCAAAGTGGGGGGGCCCCTAGACAGCCTCCCCACAGCAGCAACAGCAGCAGCAGCAGCAGCAGCCGGCTGGAAGCTTGGAGGCCAGCAGCAGCTGGCCTCCAAGCTACAGCAGACGGTAGCGACACTCTAGCTGAGACAACGCATGAAGCAATCCCAGGCAGCAGCAGCAGCAATAACAACAACAGCAGCAGCAGCAGCAGGAGGCACTTCTCTGCTTCCGCGTTGCTGGCAGACCCAAGTGTATCGGTTGCTTCTGGCCAAGCAGCAGCAGCAGCAGCAGCACCTGCAGCAGCAAACAACCTCAGCACCACCACCCCTTCTCCCCCCCCCAACAACAACAGCAGCAGCAGCAACAGCAACAATAATAACACCAACGCCACCACGAACAGCAACAGCAGCAGCAGCAGCAGCAGCAGCGGAGAAGAAGAAGAAGGGTTTGAGGGTTTGGAGTCTTTGCCTGCTGTTGAAGTGCCCTTGCCAGTGTGTGGGGGTATTCATTTATCTACAGTAACAGCTCCTTTAGAGAGAGCAGCAGCAATCATTCGCTGCAGCCAGAAGACGCTAGCTAGAGATGTATCTGTAGTATTAGCGTTTATTAAAAAAAAACTGAGTGCTCAGCTTCTTGCTGCTGCTACTCCGCAGCACCAACTCGCCAGAATAGATCTCGTCTTAGAGAAAATCAATAATATTAAAAGAAGGGTATTAACAAAACAAACGCATTTTGCTGCTCCTGCTGCTGCTCCTGCTGCTGCTCCTGCTGCTGCTCCTGCTGCTGCTCCTGTTGCTGCTTCTGACGATCCTGCTGCTGCTGCTGCTTCTGCTGGTTCTGCTGCGTGTGCTGCTTCTCATGCTTCTGCTGCTGCTCTTGCCTCTGCTGCTTCCGCTGCTGCTTCTGATGATGCTGCTTCTGATGCTGCTTCTGCTGCTGCTCCTTCTGATGCTGCTTCTGCTGCTGCTGCTTCTGCTGCTGCAGTGGTGTATATCTTCCTGCTTTATATTTCCTTTCGCTGCTTTCATCGTCTTCCTACCGCCCCAACCATCAGGGATCTAGGGTTTAGGGTTCAGGGTTTAGGGTTTAGGGTTTAGGGTTTGGTTTGTCAGGCCGAGACAGCAGCAGCAAAAGCAACAGAAGAGTTAGAGAGATGCAGCAGACGGCTGAGGGTCCTCATGGAAGAACCTGACCTCCACGAAGAACAGATGCGTGTAAACCCTAAACCCTAAACCCTAAACCCTAATAAACAATCATAAACCCTAGTAAACCCCAATAAACCCTTATAACCTTACTAAACCCTAATAAACCCTAATAAACCCTAATAAGCCCTCTTAAACCCTCATAAACCCTAATAAACCCTAACAAGCCCTAATAAGCCCTAATAAATCTTAAGGGTGGTCTACGAACCTTAGTAATCCCGGATAAACCCTAATTGTCTCCGTTTAAATCCGTTTTAACTGTCCCCTTTTTAAGTGTCTCCTTTTAATCTGTCTCCTCTTCAGGCGGGGCTGGGGACTGCACACTTCGCTCTTCATTTAAATTGCGCGGTGTTGGAGTATTTGAGTCGCGGAGAATTTATAGAGACAGCAAAAAGAGCCGCCTCTGTCTTTCATCTTGAGGTGTATAGGCACCCTATCTCTATTCCCTTTCTTTAGTTGTCTCTTTCTGTCTCTTTATTTGTCCTTTTCTCCTCATTCATTTATTTGTTTATTTATTTATTTATTTATTCGTCTGTCTCCTCTCTGTGCCGAGATGCAGTAGTGAACAACCCGCCTACCTATATTTCTAGCTAGCTGTCATCTCTATGTGTCTATCTAGCTAGCCAGATAGCTGTCAATCTATCTAGCTAGCTAGCTAGCTGCCTAGCTAATGAGCTGTCAAGCCGTGCAGCTAGCTATCTGCCTCTCGTCGCTTGTTGCCTTCTCCTCTGCTCTCCAATGTGCCCCCCAGAAGCTTTCTCAGGTAGTTCTCTGGCTACCTATACAGCTAGCTAGGCAGCCAGCTAGCTAGCTGGCTCTTCTGGTTTGCTGGCTGTATACTTTGCAGCTATCTAGCTAGGATGCATGCGAGCTAGCTAGCTAGCTAGCTAGCTGCCTAGCTACGGAGCTACCTAGCTGGCTAGCTAGCTATGTCGCCACCTGGCTATGTAGCTAGCTAGCTAGCCAGCCAGCCAGCTACATAGCTAGCTACATAAGTACCTAGCTAGCTAGCTAGCTAGCTAGCTGGGGGTGTGTATGTGCAGGACTTTTGGGATGAAGGAGTTCACGGAGAAGTTGCTGCAGTTGTCGGGGGTTTGCTGCGAGGGTCTGCTGCTGAAGCATTCGAGTGGATAGACAGACACCGCAACAAACTCACCAAGCTCAACGTAATGCAAACCCTACTCCTGCTGCTCCTGTTGCTGCTGCTGCTGCTGCTGATGCTGCTGCTGCTAATGCTGCAATTGCTACCAATGCTACTAATGCTGCTGCTGATGGTGCTGATGCTGGTGGTGGTGCTGGTCTTTGCTGGTGCTGCTAGTGCTGCTGCTGCTGCTGCTGCTGCTTGCTTCGAGGACGCAGAATAACTATTGTAACGTGCTACACATACAGCAGCTGCTCGTCTAACTGCTGCTGCTGCTGCTGCTGCTGCTGCTGCTGCTGCTGCAGAGCGTGTTGGAGATCGAGGTGCGTATGCAGCATGCGATTAATTTGTTGAAGGAGAAGAAGCCAAAGGAGGCGGTGAAATATATAAAAGAGCACATACAGCCTGCAGACATCGGTACGCTAAACCCTAAACCCTAAACCCTTAACCCTAGCAGGGCAGCAAGGATCAGGGCTGTTCTTCTCTTCCGCAGCACAGCCATTTGCTTTGCCGTTGCTCTTCTTGTGGCGTTGCTGCTGCTGCTTTCTTTTGTTGCTGCTGCTGCTGTTGCCGCTGCTACTGCTCTTCCTGCTGCTGCTGCTGTATTTCTCCCCCGCAGCAGCAGCAACAACGCAGAACCCGCGAGTGCCTCGTGCAGTGGCGATTCTTCTGTGCTGCTTCTGCTGCTGCTTCTGCTTCTGCTTCTGCTGCTGCTGCTGTTGCTGCTGTTGCTGCTGCTGCTTGCAGAGCGGTGCCCAGACATCCGACGGGTGTTGGCTCTGGCGGCGATGCTCGACTTTCCTCCCCCCGAATACGAGGTCCACCCCTAAACCCTAAACCCTAAACCGTAAACCCTAAACCCCAGCCGCGAACTTCCAAGGAACTGCTTGCACGCACCCCTGGTGGCTGAGTTTGTGTCGAGCCCCTGATTGGGTGCTTTTAAGCTGTAGACCCTAAACCCTTAACCCTAAACCCTAAGCCCTAGCCCGCAAGCCCTAAGAGCGGTGAAGAGAGGTAGGGAGGGGAGCGGGTGTAGGGATTAGGGTTTGCTGTATTGAGGGTGCTGCAGCACTTGCTAGGCGAAGAAAGAACTCGCCAACTGGTGGGGTTGTTCATAAACACCAGCGCTGCGGCCCTCGGAATGACTCCAGAGCCTCTGCTGGCTTCTCTCGTCTTCGCTGGTTTGTGCGCCGTTAAGTCTGGAGGCTGTCAAGATAATGCTTCCCCCAAGTAAACCCTAAACCCTAAACCCTAAACCCTAAACCCTGTGTCAGGATAATGCTTCACCCAGGTACACCCTATACCCTAAACCCTGAAAGCTATGTCAAGATAATGCTTCCCCCAAGTAAACCCTAAACCCTAAACCCTAAGGTCTGGCTTATGGCAGGATAATAATGCATCCCCCAAGTAAACCGAAACCCTAAACCCTACGGTCTAGCTAGTGTCAGGACAACGCAGTCTAAAGGCTAAACCCTAAACCCTAAACCCTAGGGTGTAGGTCCTCGTTGCTACCGCCGGTTGTGAGGGTTTAGCCCCTTAGAGACTGTGGGTTATTCTCTAGCGCTTAGGGTTTAGGGTTTAGGGTTTAGGGTTTAGGTTTGAGTGCAGCTGCCCCGCCTGCATCCCGGAGTTGTCGGATTTAATAAAGAAAATGCCGATGCCTCATCGCGTGCGCAGCCACATCATTTGCTGCGTCACTGGGGAACCCATGGTGGGCAGGGTTTAGGGTTTATTAGGGTTTATTAGGGTTTACTAGGGTTTATTAGGGTTTATTAGGGTTTATTAGGGTTTAGGGCCTCTGATGAATTCATCTCCTGCATTTCAAGTGCATGCAATAACCCTAAAATTTTTAAACGTCGACAAAACAAAAGAAGACGGTAGCATGTCTTTGTACATATAGTATATCCATATATATATATATATATATAATAAATATATATACTAATGTATATATACAGATTTATAATTACGTTATATATATATATATATAT